GGGACAGGAAGCAGCTCATGCTGAAGCCACGAAGCCCCAGGAGTCTGCCCACCTAGCTCCGAGTTTCGCCCTCAATCCCTCCAGCCCCTCTCTCCAGCTCCATTGTGACCGCGGACCTCTTCTGTCCATGGTGGCCTCCCTTCTCTCCTCCTGCCCCTGCCCTAGCCCGGCCAGCCCGGCCCTCACCGCTGCCCTCCACACTGACTGTCCAGCCAGGCTGCCAGGCCTTCTCAGAGGGGAGCCCCGGCTGGCATAGGTAGAAGCCCCCCGTCTGGTTAGAGACGTTGAAGATTAAAAGCCAGATGCCCAGGGGCCCCATGCGGATTCCCATGCCTGGCAGCCCCAGGCTGAGATTTAAGAAGGGTTCAAACGGGGAGTCCCGACACCAGACCAGCTGCTGAGTGGGGCCATCTGAGGTCCCCTCGAGGCACTGCAGCACAGCGTTATCTCCCTCTGTGGAGAGAGAGGGACAGAGGTGTGGGCATGACGGGGGGACCTCCAAGCCCCCCCACTCCTCACACCGGGTTATAGATCAGAGGACTCCAAAAACTGGGAGTGGAGGAGCCGGCAGAGTCCTTCCAACCCCTCCCTGAATTTCACAAATAAGAAAATGGAGGCTCAGAGAGGGTAAGTTACTCAGCCAAGGACACCCAGCCACAACCCAAGTTTCCAGCCTCCATCCCTTCCCTTTCTGCCCTTTGGACATACCTTCCACCTTCACCACTAGAGGTTCCTGGGGCCTGACTTCCATGGGGGTGAGGAAGAGGAGGAAGAAGAGGAGGCAAGGAGGTGGCATGGTGGTCAGACTCCCCGGGGCACCCAGCTTCGCGCAGGGGATGCTGGGGTAGGCAGGGGCCTGGAGGGCACTGAACCATGGGTGTCTGCGGAGGCGGCAGGCAGTCCCCCCAGAGAGGAAGGGGGTGGTCACGCCTCAGGCCCCATTCTCCAGGAACCCTCCAGACTCACATTTGCCTCCTCCCTGCCACGCTGTTTTATTTTCATCCCAGCTCTCACCACCATGGGAAATGATCTTGTGGGTTTACTTGTTCATTTCTGTTTTCTGCACAAGAATATGAGCCCCTTGGAGTGGAGACCTTGTTGTTCACCACTAATTGCAAGTGCCCTAGAACAGTGCTGGGCACATAGTAGGCACCTGATAAATATTTGTTGCCTGAGCGGATTCAGCCTTCAGGGCTCCCTCCTTCTCCCTCTCCCTCCTCCTCTGAACCCCGGGCTCTGAATCCATGTCTCTTCACTCACACACACCCCATTCATTCATTCAGCAAACATTTTACCAGTCCTCCCTCTACCTCCACATCCACCCATTAATAGACTTTGGGTTCTAGCCGACCTGAGTTTGAATCTTGCACCTCCACTATTTGGCTAAACTTCATCATTTGAAACCTCAGTTTATTTCTCTGTCAACTGGGGATAATAATATTTCTATACAGGCTGGGCGAAGTGGCTCATGCCTGTAATCCCAGCACTTTGGAAGGCTGAGGCAGGCGGATCACAGGAGGTCGGCAGTTGCAGACCAGCTTGGCCAATGTGGTGAAACCCCATCTCTACTAAAAATACAAAATTAGGCCAGGTGCGGTGGCACGCGCCTGTAATCCCAGAACTTTGGGAGGCAGAGGCAGACGGATCATGAGCTCAGGAGATCAAGACCATCCTGGCTAATATGGTGAAACCTGATCTCAACTAAAAATACAAAAAAATTAGCCAGACGTGGTGGCCAGTGCCTGTAGTCCCAGCTACTCCGGAGGCTGAGGCAGGAGAATGGCGTCAACCCAAGAGGCGGAGCTTGCACTGAGTCGAGATGGCGCCACTGCACTCCAGCCTGGGTGACAGAGCAAGACTCCGTCTCAAAACAAAACAAAACAAAACAAAAAAAATTAGCCGGGCATGGCACTTAGGGAGGCCGAGGTGGGTGGATCACCTGAGGTCAGGAGTTCGAGACCAGCCTGGCCAACATGGCGAAACCTTGTTGCTACTAAAAATAGAAAAATTAGCTGGGCATGGTGGTGC